TGGATCAAATTTTGTATTGTCAAGCTGTTAAATTTACCAGTTAAACTTTTTTTTTCTTTTTTCTTCACCATCATCAATGCTTTAGTCAGCTCAATACCTTTTGGTGATGGTGAACAACATAAACCAAGCAAATGAACTGTGTATGTGACCATTTTCACATATGAATGAATTGATATCAGTTTAATAATATTTAATGAGAATGAAAAAGTCAAAAGTTGCAGTTATAAAATTATTGTGAATTTATCAATTGACAGTCTTCCCAAAAAAAAAAAAATCATTCCATTTGTCCTTCATATAAAAAAACAGAATCTTGCTGACCTTTTTCAAAATAAAACAAAAAAAATGAATTGATGATGATGATCTGATCAATGTTTTTTTTCATGGTTAGGCCAATGATCAATTTTTTTTTCGTATTTTTGATCGAAAAGCTTTCATTGTCAATTGATGAGAGTTTGTAATTAAATTCAGAATCATTGACAATGTGCAATATCTATTGTTCTTTTATTCTATTCAACATTCTCTATGGTGTTGCATATACATTATCATCATTCATTCATTCATTCATTATAAGATCGAATAATTTAATGTTTGTTTCGTGTGAATTGAATGATGATGAAATAAATAGAAGACCGACGCCCAAATATCTATCTAATAATAATTTATGTGTGTGTGTCCCAGTGAAAGAGGTATTGTATTGTTTTCCATCACAGATAATTTTCATATTGATCATCACCATGAGAGATGGTTGTCGTCATTGTCGTAACTCTTTTTTTTTAGGGATAACAGCCGCCGTCAGCAACAATATTCTTTTCAAAAAAAAAAAAATGAACCATTCGACATTTAAAATTTTTTTTGATCTAAATGTTTCCCGGGATTGACAATTTTTTGAAATGACATGGCAACCAAATATAAAAATTCACACAAATAGTACACACAAACGAATTTGATTCTTAATGTAGCCAGTAAAAAAAAAACGGTAAACAAATGGCCACTCATAGATGATGATGATGTTTTTTCAATAGAATGATCAATGATCTTTAATATCGATTTATTATCCATTAGAAAAGTTGAATTCTATAGCATAAATTCTTGTGCAGCTTCTTGTTAATCGGTAATCACATTAATCAACTAACCTAATGAACAATTTCATGTGTAGTGACTAATTAATTGTTTTATTTGTTTATTTGTTAATAGTTTAGTTGCTAACCAATATATTGAACAATAGGAAAAAAATAGTAATTGTTGGATTTTTATAATTGTTCCAGAATTCAATAGAAAACAATGACCGATACAAATATTAATCGATTTTCCAATCAAAATATTCTACACAGTTGTTATTATGGCTGTAATTTTTCAATCAATCATATTGTATTGTGTTATACTACTGTACAAAGCTTTATTTGCTTATTCATTGGTTGAAATTGAAGAACGAAAACCATTAAAGAAACATGTCGAAATGCAACAACAACCAAAAAAACAAGAAGATGCTACCATACGAATTAATAATGATCAGGTAATGTTATTGGTTATGCACAAGACTGGTCTATTTGCTCTATTTGCATTATTGGTAACAATATTGGCAATTGCTATAACCGTGTTGTTTATCATGCATTATAAAACAAACAAAATTCAATCAAAAGATGACATTGATTTTCCAACAGATCAACATTCGCTTCATATTTCTGACAATGACAAAATAATTAAATCAAAACCGATGAAAAATCGTCATTACTCGGAAGATTTATCAACTACCATCACAAATAATGCAAGCTTGACTTATAGTAATCCTCAACGTTATACTTATTACAAGAATAAATTGTTAGATCCCGAACTGGCTACTACTGAATTGGATTCAGCAACAAACACAACAACAACCATATGTGATTCATTTGGATCCAGACAGCTTATTGATGATTGTGCAGGAGAATACTATAATGGTGAATTATTAACCAAAACCACATCAGATAGCAATCCAGATGAACGGAAAAAGAATTCATTGACTCATGATGGATTCATTGTTGTTTTAAATGATGATATCGACACTGAACCTGGAGAATTACAAACAAGTGAAAGTCGTCGAAAACTTATGGATAAAATAATGAAAAAAAAGAAAGGTTTAAAATCATCATTGATTTCAAAAAAAATTAGAAAAAAGCTTAACAAACATGACAAACATCATCATCGTCACAGTGATAAAAAACATAAAAAACGATTAAAAATAAAATCAATACTACGGCGACCAACAAAGATGGCCAAAAAATGTTCAAAAAAATTATTATTTGGACATCAAAAAAATGATGATGATGATGATCAATCAACATTGGCATGGAATTGGCCTGGAAAAAAAGTCCAATTTGATCAGTTAGTCACTATTCATTATATCTAATCATAGTAATAATCAAATACCAAACATAAATTACGTTTTTTTGCAGGTGAATTAATTTTGCAATTGTGAGTGTATGACAAAAAAAATGATGGAATTGAATATAAAAAAAAAATAGAAAATGAAAGAATCATATAATGTCGCAATCTAAACCTTTTTAATATTCTTGTGTGTGTGTGTGTGCGTATGATTTCAATTAAAATATATAATTTAGGAGAGAAAGAATCCAGAACTGAAAAAAAGAGTTGATTGTTCAAGAGAATTTTTTCCATTCCATTTCGTATTTTATGGAAAATCTATGAAATGATTCACGCGCATTCACCAACACCATTCATTCATCATTATTATGATGATTATAATCGATGAACACTCACAAACACACATATACACGCAGCATAGACCAATTTTTAAATGAAAAGAAAAGAAAAACAAAAAAAAAGGAAAAATTAATTTCTACTTTAAATTATTATCGATTATGAAATAGAAATTAAAGAATGTTCTACAATCAAGCTTAGTGTTGCTTGATGACAAACAGAATATACAAATTTCGGACTCTTGATTCCATGTCTTTTGTTTTAATTAGAAAACGAATAATGAACGTAGAAACTATATGAAATTGAAGCATCATATGTACAATCCTGACAGGCAGCTAGATCATTTATGTGATCAGAACCAAGTATAGAAATGGATAAATAGATAATAAATGATGTAGCATATATGAAGAAAAAAGGAGAGAGAGGATATGCGCCATAATTCTTTTTTTTTCATCCAATTACCATATAATATTGGTCGCTTCAATAATAACAACGTCGAATATCTCTCTCTCTCTCTCTCTCTCTCTCTCTCTCTCGTAATGTCCAAATCACAAATAATAGGATCGTGATGATATAGAAAATATATGGTGTTGATTATGATTTTTTTTTTAGCGGCGAATCATATTTCAAATTGCTTCAACAAATAAAATATTTCTGTAGTCAAATTGCAAAAAAAATGAATGAATGAATGAATGAATGAATGCAAAACAATATGAGAATGATGATATTATATTCATGATTCAAGAAGAGAAAAAAAACCCGATTCTTTTTTCATATTTTTTCTTTTATATATGTTATGTAAATTGGGTCGAATCATGATAATAATAGAGCAGCAACATAAAACGAAGTGAAAATGAAACAAATTCTATAGATCATCATCATCATCATCATTGTTGAAGATCTAGATCTGATTCTTGTGTGTGTGTGTGTGTGTGCCATTCAAATGAAATGAATCTCAAACATAATCTAATAACAACAACCGACGACAACAATAACAAAATATAGATACAATTCACAAAACGAGTGAAAAAACAAAATTGTTACGAAAATTTTCAATGTTGATCCATCTGTTTTTACTATCCAATACACCATACACAAATAAACAAACAACATTGTCGCTATTCTGAACACACTGTTGGTTGTTTTGAACAAAATCATTACATTTCGATTTATAAGTACCAGTATTAGATTGGCCAATTTGCCAGAAGTGAAAGAAGAAAAATATGACAAAATTGTTTCAACAATGAAAATGTGATGGTGTGGATTTCAAGGATTCAAATTATTATCGAAAAGTGGAAAATGAGAGAAAAAAAATGTCCACAACCACACACACACACACACTCACCATCAGCAATCATCATCAAAATCTGGACCCAATCATTTTTTTTGTTTTGTTTTGTTTACACATACACACACACAAACACAACTAAACCAAAAAGCAATAAATCGAATTGATCAATATCGATAGAGCGAGAGATAAGTCTATTAATTTTTTCTTGCCCGTTTCGAACAAAACTTCTTATTTTTTTTCTAGTTCCAACAAAAAAAAACGGTTTTATACCTTTGGTATTATGATTCTCATAATTTCATTGTTTGAAATTACACAAAAAAAAAGTAAATCCATTTTTGTATTGCAATGTTGTTATTTTTGTATGTGTGTGTGTGTGTTTGTGGCCAAATATTTAGGTCGAAAAAAAGGTCGTGTAAGTGTAATGAATATAAAAGAATTAAATGTAGGCCATCATTTTTGATAGGTAACAGACAATTCATTTATTTTATTTATTTTTTTTTTTTTTTTTTTTTTGATATAATTTTATGGCCCAAATTGTGATGATAATGTCAACATCATTTTTTTTTGATGTATCATTAATGTCAGGCCAGTATGATGATGGTAGTCGTCGTCGTCGTCGTAAATGATGCATTGCAACATTAATCAAGGCAAGTTCATCATTTAAATTGTTGCGGTATTGCATTTTTTTTCTGTTGGCATAAAGGACGAGAAGCAATCAATCAATGATTCTGGTAAATTATTCATTATAGAAACAGAAAATAAAGGTCTGATGGACCTTGTTCCAATAAGATATAATAATAATTCAAGGAATAAGAATCTTGACGACAAGTCATGGCCTCATATAATTTTACATTGGCTACACTGTGATACAGAGAAAAAGAACCTGATTGTTGACTATAAATGGACATTTATTACCCAGAAAAATGTGGATCACTTTCAACCTTTTTTTCTTTTTAAAGCTATATATATCAGATGTTAGTTCTCCCGTTACATATCAATACAGACATTTTACTCAACAAGAGTGATACTGAAGAAAGAATAATTAATTAATCTTTAATCTTAAGCTGCTGATTAAATCAAGCAAAATGACATCATTCAATTTCTTTGTTTTCATACAATTATTGGCAATGATAATTGCCGTTTCATGCCGTTCAATCGAAATGGATTCATTGGTCTATGGTGGTGATGAATCACCGATCGCTTGGTTAGCCGATGAATTTTTGCAACAATATCTGATTCATAACAACGGAATTTCCTCATCATCATCATCATCGAACAGCAAAATACCGAATCGGATAATTGGTGGTGTAGATGCTGAACCAGGTGAAGTTCCATTCATAACACAATTGTTTCGAAGATTTTTGTTTAGTAATCGATTCCTTTGTGGTGGATCGTTGATCACATCACGTACAGTGTTGACTGCTGCTCATTGTGTTAACTAGTGAGTATTATTTCAACCATAATTTCAAATATATAGATATTAATCCTATTGTTTATGTGTAGTTTCACCAACTATCGAATTCGTTATGGTACCAATAGCATATTATGGTCACCATTTCCAGAAGTTGAAGTAAAAATGATGAAACCGCATCCTAAATTCGATTTATCTACTGTTCAGAATGATATCGCTTTGTTTATATTGAAAAATCCAATCAAACCCGGATCTAATGTTCAAACAATCGAATTGGCCGACACAGCAGTTTTAGCTGGTACAAATGCATCGTTGTATGGATTTGGATTGACCCAAGGTAATGGTAATCAACCAGCAACCAGAATGCAAAAGACTACATTAATCGTAATGGATGAAAAAGAATGTGCAAAACATATCGCCAATCTTAATATTGAAAAATCTCCTGGAATGTTTTGTGCTTCAGCACCGAATCGATCTGCATGCAATGGTGATTCCGGTGGTCCATTAGTCGATACCATAAGTAAAAAACAGATTGGTATTGTTTCATTTGGTACTAGATATTGTCCAGTTGGTTCAGTCAATGTTTTTACAAATATTTCTTATTATAAAGATTGGATCAATGAAAACAAAGTAGAATGAAACACAAATTCTATTCGATTAAAATAAAATTCTGTCATTGTTACTATAAATTACTTATATAAATTCTCTATATAGCATGGTTTTCCATTTCAGTTTTACTTGTAAATGTGATAATGAAAAAAAACGAATCCATTGACGATAGATGGGATTTAGGAAACGTTTTTCTGTGGCTTACAATTATAATCATAATTGTCACAGTGTTGGCAATCTATATTACAATTCAAATGAATCAATATCTACAAAAAACATTGGACATTTATCAACAACAACAAAAACAGCAACAGCAACAACAACGACATGGACATGTCAACAAATAAAGTCTTTGATGAAAGCAGATGTCCCTAAAAAAAAAGTTTCAACCTCATTAGAAATTAGTAAGATCTATCATCAAAAAAATCTGACAACATTGTGAATAGACGACAAATTCATGAACAATTTTTTATATTTATTTTACGAATTTGAAGAAAAAATGTGTGGTGGGTACAAAAGCAAAGATTTTCACAGTGAATAGAATGTTTGATGGCTTATACAATTTTCTATTTAAAAATCGATGAGACAGCAAAAAAAAACGAAAAGAAAAAGAATTGAAAAGATTCAAGAAGATTGTAGAATTTCAATTATTATTCCATCTCTTTTTATCCATCTCAACGAATAATGATGATGTTTTCTATTGTTTGACATTGTCATCCTTCATTACTATTCGATTCGCCAAATTTTTCATCATCATCATCATCATCGCCATTTCCATAAAAATTGTAGCCCGATTCCCTAGAGGCATTCAATAAAAGTTTTGTTATGTGTATATGACATTGTAGGTTGTGACCGATGTGTAATTATTGGAACAACTATGACGACGACTACAACATAACACGAATACTCATTGGTTTTGAATGATGATGATGATGGTGGTGGTGCTGGTGAGTAATATGAACAACCCAGAATATTTGTTCAAAATTGACAATGAAATTAAGGTTTACAAATATATGTCTAAACACAATAATAATTGTGTGTACATAAAATAAATGCACGAATCTAATGGTGGCAGTATTACATCATTCAATCAATCAATCAAACATTCAATTCCCTGGATAGCAATCAATCATAAATATGTAACCATTTATCAACCTGCCATGTTAAGCTACAAGCGGTGAACATAAATATATTCTTTAGCTACGACAACAAATTGATTGCTATAGATAGATTGAATAGAAAAACAAAATTTTTCAAAAAACATATGAAAAATGTATCAATCTTCAATAAAAGATTGAAGGTCATTCAAGCGATGACAAAATGACAAACTTTCTTTTGCAGACAATTCAGTTAATATTATGCTATTGACCAATTTGGAATCAAATCAATTCTTTCTTTACAAAATACAGAATATATAGCCAGCATTGTTCAATTTACTTTACCGAATTCATTTTGTTTCAACACAACAACAACAACAACAACAGTCATTTTATAAATAATACAATTGATTGATGTGATAACTATCGAAATTCTTGAAATTATATAATAATACAAAACAAACATAAACAAATACACCACACACACCACTCACACACATAATGAAGAGTGGACACACAATTACAAATATAAACTTGAATGCAATTTGTCAATCACAATGTGTGTGTGTGTGTGTTGTGTTTGTAATAACATTTGGGAGAGTTGTAATGTTGTTCTAATCGAATTACAAAATCTCCATCCATGGATATATATATCGCTCACAGCAGCAGTTGTGTTCATAGTTTTTATAAACAATAGGAATAGCATCATCGTTATTTTTTTTGATTAGATCACAATGTAGATAGATGGATGGATGGATGGATGGATGATGAATGGAAACAAATCGAATAAAATGAAAAATTGTAATTGGAACCAAGAAAAAAAATGTCTTACACACACACATATATATATTCTCTATATATATATATGACAATAAAAAGCAATGAAATCATACAATGACCAAAGGCTGTTAAATCTGATTCTCTTTTTCAACTTTCACTCGATAACACCGATCCAAAAAAAAAACGAAATGGAAGAAGAAAAAAAAGCCTAAAGCAAAGAATTGAATGTTAACAAAAAAATTAATTGTTATTCCTTGGTCGAGCTGAGCAAACGACGACGATGTGTCACACAATTCTTGTTTGATCCATTTTTTTCTAATATTATATGTTTAGATATATTTTTTTTTGATCGTTTGTAATTTTGATTTATCTGATAATATCGATATCAGAGATAGAGAGATTTTATTTATAAATGAAATTCAATACCCGTTCAGTTCAAAGTGAAACAAGTGCACATTCATCATGATTTTTCTTTTTCTGTTTGTGGATGCAATGTTTGCACAAAATTCAATATGAATTCAACCATATATAGTCAGCCAAAACGAAAAAAAGAGATTACACATTGTGTATTGTTTGCCATCATTATCAGCATTATCATGTAGCAAAAGCTATCCGAAAACAATGAAAGATTTTGGAATTCTGTACATATATCCATCTGTACTAGTTTTTTCTAACAATCGATCGATCGACATGGTATATCGACACCGGATCCGATCAGTAAAGAATGTTTATGTATTCCAACATGTCAAATAAAACATTGATGACATGATAACGGATGGTATAAATGACCAAATATATATATATCGTATATGGATCGTGAAATGACCTCATTTCGTGTTTAGAATTAGATGATTTTATTTCCGGTTTTCCATAATGATTCACATATGATTCGAAATTCGAAACCAGAAAAATAGATAAATATATGCTATTATTATAAAAGAGCTGGAAGAAAAAAAAATTCCCATACATCCAATTAAAATGAATTGAATCACTTCAAACACACAGAAAAAAATGAATGAAACATTCTTTTAAAAAAAAGGAAAAAGGAAACGAATGTAACCACATGAGCTTTTATATGGCTCATTATTAGTGCCAGAATAGTTCATTTTTTGGTGAATAACCTTTAAACCAATGTCAATGTATTACAAGATTATCAATGATGATGACAACTGTGAAATAATACAAAACAGATCGACAGACATTGGGTGTGTTGTGTATTTATTCCAAAATAATTGGAACAGGCCATCATCGTAATCAGCGAATTGTCATCATTCACAACTTACAAACTGAATCGAGAATTAATTTGTACAAAGAAAAAACATATCCAATTGCCTTTGGCTCATTATTTTCACAACAACAACAACGAAAAAAAAATAAACATAGATTCAGCAAAAAAAATAGTAATAAAACAAGGACAAAAAAAATCCAACATAAAACCAAAAACGAAGATCCAAGTAAACATCGTAATGACAGCTTTTTTTTAACAAAAGGCATTCATGCATACATGTTCTGTCTTATTCTGACATTGTCATTGAATTGTTTCAAATAATAATGAAAAAAAAAATTTCCATTTCATTGTGTGTGTGTGTGTGTGTTTGTAAATTTGATCATGTCACCTGTCTTTTTTTTTAGATCCAGAAACAAAAGCAAAATAAAATTTTGTTTCGAAATATGATCCATACAAACTGAGCTCAAGGTGTACATGCAAAGCTTCAGTAGAATAAATAGACACATCATCATCATCATCTAGCAGCCAGGTTGACATGGCTAAATTGACAGATATTGTATTACGAATTGCGAATAAAATGGCTGTCCTAACTCAACAAATCACGTTGACAAATTTTTAGTATTCAACAACAACAACAGGAAAATCTGAATCAAGAAAAATCTTTGGTAATAAGAACAATTAATTAATTCGAATACATTGATGGTAGTTAGAGAAAAAAAAAGTTTACCAGAATAAAAACTGATTTGTTGTTGCTACAATTTGTCAAATGTTTGCTGTCTCGTTTTATTTCGTTATCGATTAAATCATCGTTGGTTTTCTTTCATTTTTTCGATGAATTCCGATGACGCTATCATTACACTAGATCTATCGGTAGCTATCTATCTTACTAGATTCAAATCAAAAAATAAAATTAAGTCCAATTAAGTGTGTATACAGTGAAGAGAAAAATCAATCAAAACGAAAAGCGAGAGAATACAGGTAGCGAAAATCAAAAGTCGAGGATTCGTTGTTGTTGTTTTTGGTTTGTTTCAACAAGATAAGCATACCATCATAAGAATTTTAAATGAATTAAAATTAACGACAAACAACCCTGTGTTGATGATGATATGTCCACCACCATCATTATCATTATCAAAGCAAGCATGCGTGCAAATAACTAAATTATTTATCTCTCTCTCTTTCATTCCGGTATGACTTGAAGCGAAAATTTGAAGAAAAAAAAAAAATGAACACCTAGATTATTGTTAAGATAATGGAATGATTTTTTTTCATAAAGATATTATGATGATGATGATGGTCTCTTCTTGTCGCGCTGCATATGGTTATCATTGAGTTTAAATAATAATAATAATAATAATGTCTCTATCCATTCATTTATCTCGTAACAAAAAAAAAGATTTAGACGATAAATAGGACGGAACAAAACACAAAGGCACCAACTGGAGAGAAAGAGAAAAAAAAATAAACATAATCAACAACAACAACAAAAAAACCGAACCCATGAAATGAAATGAATTGAATGTCAATGTATGAAATTGAAACAAATTAAAAGAAAGCAATTGGAAAAATTGAGCAGGCAACATTGAAAAAAAACACACAGGGACTGAATATATCATTATTCATTATTTGATTACATTTTACTTTTTTTTTGGCCAGCTATAGCTAAAAAATGAAAATTTTGTACCAAAAAAAAAAAATTGAAAAATCGATGCCTGCAATGTGTGTGTGTGGCTGAAATATACACGGTTATATCAGATCTCATCGTCATTAGATTCAATGATTAATTGTAACCAACAAAGAAAAAAAATGGCTCATTTCTTTCACTTAACATTAATTCATTCATTCAGGGTTACCGGGGGATGATTGAACGAAAAATGAAATGAAAACCCAAAGATGGTTGGTTGGTTGTGAGAGAGAGAGAGAGTAATCGATATTTATTCCAACCATCATCAT